GTTGATGTGTTGGGTAATTAGAGTGAGTGTGAGTATGGGCATGGTGAATCTGCCTGCCTCTTGGCCAATGTGCTGTCGTCGATGTACTTGGAACCTCGCCAGGCTTGTCCCAGTTGTGAGTGCTGGAAACCGTATGTAGGATACTCGGTATGGCACATCCAGAACCCCCCCCATTTTTTTCTATCTTCAGCGCTTGAGACAGGCCGAAGCTCACGCGGCGGAGTCGGAAACGGAGTCTTTGGAGACGCCGGTGCCCAGCTGGAAACATATCTCTCTCTATATACGTATGTATGTATGGATGTATGCATGTATGCGTATGTGTATGTGTTTGAAAATGTATGTAGACATTCCGTGGTAGCAGTGGGTTACAGTACTCTGTTTCAGGATTCCCAGACTCCATGGCGCCGGTGGCTCATGGAAATGATAGTTCTCAACCTGGCCATGTCCTGAGCAGTGTGTCGCTTCAACACGCCGCATGTCTGCCCTGTGTTTCACCACGTCAGCTGGATCCAGGTCATGATCATGTGGAACACTGACAACTGGGTTCTGCCTGCTGTTTACACAGCTGCTGGGACGAAGATTGCAGAAGCCTTCGGTTCGAAGGGCTACGTAAGTAATGTAGGGGCCTCGAGTGGAACAGGGTTTCGGGGTCCATCGTGCTTTTATTACAATAACGACCCCCCACAAGAGTATTGGTAATTATTTAGGCCCCTATATTCGTCGAGACCGAAGGGCCGCAAGAGAGGTGGCCAGTTCTTGATGCTCCAAGTTTGAGTCGACGTTGTCCTGTCCGTTGACCTTCAGCGTGTTGGTTTGCGGCCAGAACACTCGTTGCTTGAGGGCTTGTTCTCCGTCTGCAGTCTCCATTCAGGGAATTGTCCGGGCAGACCCCTACTTTGGGGAATGCCACTGTCTCACGCCCTCCAGCCAGACAGTTCAGTCGAGCTTGCGGCTCGCGGGTTGGGTCACACCAGTTTCAGGTCAAGGAAGGCACAGGAGCCGACAGCGACACCAGATGTCAGCCAAGGAGATTGCCAGACACTTCAACGCCTCGCCGGGGGACCCTCGGAAGTTTTCGATGCTTTGATGCTCCAGTCGCAGCCCAGCGCGCAGAGCCCGAGAGGACTTGGCCTCCCTGGGCCTGGTGCGGGGCATCTTCGAGTCGACACTTTGCCTTGGTTGGCTTGAGGTCCTTCAAGATGTCGGGGACTGCTGCTCTGTGGGAACAAAGTTGGAGGTGATCGATGATAAGTCACTGATAGGTGACGATGAGGGTGCCTGCAGGCGAGCTGGGCTTTCGAAGGTTCTTGCCGTTGGGCCCGTGTGTTTAGCCTGATCGTCAACGTCAACTACAAGCGCTGCAACTGGTGGCGGATAGTTATCGGAATTTACATGCATCTATCGGCCTTCTTGTGCGATTTGCCAAACTTGCTGGATCGCTTCTTCTTTGCTCAAACCGATGCCAGTGTACTAACGCTTAGATTCCGAGTGTGTTTCGTAGGGGATCGACAAAAACCGCTACGGCCAATTCAATGCTGAAGCCTTCTTCTTTGAAGGAAAAATCGGATGGCAGGAGGAAGTCTCTAACTCTGCCTCGCTGCTTTGCGTGCTCAGGGTCTTTGCGCTCCCGTCCGGCTTCCTGGCCGACAAGCTGTCCGGCGCCTGGGAGGTTTTGCGAGCTCCTGAGAGCGTCTGAGTGGGGGGGGGCGCCCTCTGAGGCCAAGGCCGCTGCTGGTGTGGCTCGGGGCGGTGGTCTGGGCCGCCGCGCTGGTCGGGGTCACCTTCTCCCCAAGCCTCTCCTGGATGATCTTCTTCAGAGTCGCTTGGCACAAGTTTCTGGAGACCCTCGTCGCTGACCTTCCTGTGCCTGTGCCCGTGCATCCCGAGGCTCTCAATGGTGTCGGCTTGGGCATCGTGCAGCCGCTGCTGTTCAGCTTAGTCGCTGACAAAAGCGAAACCCATGGCGGGAAGCTGAGAGGGAGAGCATGTAAGGGATCGTCGCCACGTCCTCTTTGACAGAATTCTTCATGGCTTAGATTCCTGACAGGTCGTGGCAAAGCCTTCGGCTTCTTGCAGTTTTCTGGAAACGTGGGGCAAACAGAGCCTTGACCGCCTGGCGAAGTGTGGAGAAGCTTGTACCCCAACTTAAGCCGAGTTTTGAGGCCTTCACGGCTTTGGCCACCGGCATTGCGACTTATCAGATTATGTCGGTCGCGGGATGGCAGAGCCTCGTCTGACGTCACCAGTTGCATGGTACCAGGTCAGCTGTTGTCAAGCCGCCCCTCATCCCAACCTGGTGAGTTCCAGGTTTGCTTTGCTGATCGTGGCCGTTCTCAGTGCAGTTGTGGGCACTCTCTGCGTGCTTCTGGCGCGGCAAGGGGGGAGTAGCGCTGGAAGTGCCTGCTCTTCAAGTCTGAACCACAACTGCAGGTTGACGACCAGCGCGCGAGGGACCCCCGGAGCATGGTGGCCATCATCTGTGAAGAGACGCGCGCTCCCCAGAGCCGGGCGGACGGCGCCCGGGGGCCAAACCGACGGCGCCCAAAACTCGAGGCCGAAGCTTCGGCACATCGTCTGCCTCCCAACGTTCATTATCATCATCGGGCAAGGACAGCGTATGACAGCGTAGCGTCTGCAAGCCTCTTTACAACAACCTCTCTGAACCTACAGTATGTCCCAAAGGAGCTTTTGGCACTGCGCCGTGGTTTGCTTTCAGCTATCTCACCATGTGGCTGGAGCTGAACTGTTTCGAGCATTCGCAGGCCTGAGAGCCTCCTTGCGTTACAGCTGCGACTTTGAGACCTTCTGGGCAAGGCTGCTGCCATCATCGCCTGCTTCAACATCGGAGGGGCCCTCTCTGGGATTGTGGGAGGCAGAGCAATGCGACACAGCTACACGCAGACACCGACCGGTCCTGCAGGTGTGCTTTTGGACATCGTTGCGCGGCGCTTCCCGGATCACGGCCCACCAGGACGCCAGTGAGCTGATGCTATTCAAAGTTGTCGGAAAGACCAGATGCTGTGCAGAGGAATTGCGCAAGTGGCAGTTTTCCTATCCTTGCCGCTCTTCGCCACAATCCTTTTTGGCCTCGGCACCCTTGCTGAAGATTGCCCGACAGGTGTTTGAGCTGTTCATTTATGGTTGTGTCTCATGAGGCGGATTGGACCACAAGAGCCCGAGTACCCCCATAGTCTTCGGCATGATTTTCATGGTGACCGGCACCATGATCTCTTGGTGCATGGTGATGAACAACAAGATGTTCAGCGACATCGTCCCCAAGGAGGCCTACAGCTATGTGTTCGCCCTGGACCGCGCAGTCGAAGGCCAGGGAGCTTGGGGCGGAGTGGTTGTCTCAGAAGGCAGCCGTCGTAGCCTCACTACCGCGAAGGCACCCTGGGAGCCTTGGGCCAACCGATTGTCGGCTGGCTTACGGACACTTGGAAAAAAAGGTTTCATCGAAAAGCATGGTAGCATGCACTCTCGTGGACATGCAAATTGAAGCGGCGAAGCTGACATTTTTGCGTAACAAAGAACCGAATCCATCGAGAATGCGAGCAGCCTTCGTTATCAAAGAGGCAGAAAACGCAAGTGTCTCGAAGGCACGTTGCTGCTGCCTAGAGGCTAGTGCTGAGATATCAATCACTCAGCCCGCGAGAATTCACATCACCCCAGTGTGGAAATTCTCAAGCCTCAGTCTGCCCACGTGCAGCCTCTCAAACGTCACTCGCTTTAGGATTTCGCACATTTCCCCACAGCAGGACGGCAGTTTTTCACAAGAAGCAAAAGTCTTGAAGCTGTACTTGCTGAGGGATTCTGGGTCCAGGGACTGAAGTAAACCTAAAACGTTGAGGAATTGCCAAGGCTCCTAAGGAACAAAAAACATGGGGCACATGAACACTGGCGCACCAATTCACATGGGCAATGCTACTACTGCATGCTGGTGCCAGCTTGAAGGCAGATTTTTGTGTGCTGACCTGAGGATGAAATCTTCCATTTCAATGCAGACACAGCCAACTCACAGGACGTCGGCGCCACTTCAAGAAGTTTGTTTGCTCAGTCGGAGATGTTTTTGGGGAGCTGCTTGGACTCCCGGAAGGATTGTTCTCCAGACGATGCCATGAAGCTGGGCAAGGGGATTTTCCTAGTCTCGGCTGTGGCATTTTCCGGGTGCTTCGCGGCGGCATTTGTGCCTTGAGGTGCTTCATGGCTTTCGTCTTTCTCGCAAAGCTTTCAACGCGTGGGAGTTTTGAGTCTGAGCCTGCGAGCGCAAAGGCTTCATGTTCTACGGCGTGGGACACTACACCTACCCCAGGGACTGTGTAGGGCCCGTTGATGCAACTTCTCACTGCAGCCGAAGTGGTCATTGAGTTCTGGAGGATCGCCGGATCGCCTCTCACAAGCGGATCCCCAGCAAAGGCTCTTCTGAGAGCGATGGGCAGGAGAAGTGAGGACTTTCAAGTCTACGCTGGAGAAACGGCAGGTGTTCTTTTGCGTAGAATCGGGGTGAGTGGCGGTGACTCACTGCCAGTGGCCCTGCGAGTGAGTGGGCCTCTCATCCGATTGGGCTGTTCCTGGGTCTTCCAAAGTCGCCTACCCTGGTCCGGCACAGAATACAGATTTGCAAGCCACCCTTCCGTGTGTCGGCGCTTACAGGCTTTTCAAGGGACAAGTTAATTCGTCTGCCCCCCCCACAGAGGCCAGGCAAGACGGAAAGTGAGCCATTTTTCACCGGTACCGTAAAGGCCTGCTTCGGTCAGCCATGCTATGCCAGGCAGCAGGCGCCGGGTGAAGTGTACAGCACCCAGAAAGGATTCTCCCAAACTTTGCAGCGGCCCGAGCTCAATTAGACCTTAAACCCTAATATCAAGGCCCCTATAATCTAAGGCAGGGTATTGGGCTCTCTGGATCTAATCTCGACATCTTGACATTTTGACCTCTGCATTCGGGGAGCACAGTGGCCTCTCGCGCGAAAGCGCGGCCTTAAACATTGTGAGCGAGAGCGCAGCTAAAAGCGTCAGAGCTTGCGGCAGCAGGCGTCAGTGGCCAGCTTCATGTTATGTGCTGTAGGACTGTAGGCTGTGCCGTGCAGGCCTTATCCCAAAGCCGCGATGCGAGTCGTCACAGTGACTTGAGCACGGTGTGCCACAGACCGATTAAAACAAGATCCTCATGCGTAAACCTGCCTTGCAACTCTGTGTCTCTCTGTGGTTGCTGTGCAGACGGATTGAATTCGCGCGTGGGTGCTGCTATTCCGAAGCCAGAGGTCTTCGGAGGCGGTGAACCACTCACGTAGTTTTAGGTAGCGTGGGCGAACTGCAATTCTTCGAATTTGTTGTGGTGTCCCTGTTGCAAGTGAATTGATAACTGTGCGCAGATCAGTGACGTGCAATCGCATGCGACGTCAATGTTTAGCCATGCTTGGTGCAGCGCCTAGTAAAGCCTTTTGTCAGAGAGAGGCCAGCAAGTGCCTTTGTGTCGTTCTTGTCGTGGCCTCGGCGTGTCGAATTCCAGGCAGCAAAGGGGAAGACTACCAGCTACAGCTTCGTAGGAGAGTCAAGTGGACGTCGTGGCCAGATCGGCGAAGTTTCACCCCGCTCCCCACCGCCCCCTCCCTCCCTCCCTCCCTCCCTCTCAGAGGTTCCTGTGACGGTTTTCAGGGTGCTCGAACGTCCGGGCTTGGCTGCTCTCAACTTCCATATCCTACGAACACAGGCAGCTGATCCTCCCAGGCCGTCTCGCATTAGATGCTTTTTGCCTACGGTCTAAACCATGGCAGAGTGGCATCCAGCTCGCTCCAGCCCGAAGCGCAGCGCAGTCGCATGGTTCTGGAAAAGGCAGCGAGAGGATGCACCCGGGTCCCTGTCCGGGCCCCTCTTGTCCCCGCTGTGGGAACCAGCAGCCACGGGTGCCCTCTGCAAATCTGCAGGATGCTGCTGCCACTGCCGAGACGATATCTCGAAGAAATCGCAGGCCAGGCTCTGTGAACTTTGTGAAAGTGACTTTGAAAGCGCGGTGTCCTGCGCCCGCTCACTGCGGCCACACGCTTTCGATATCTTTCGATACTGCTCCGCCTTGGCTGCGCCAGGCCCGGAGAAGCTGGTGCTCCTCAGTTGGACAACGGGCGCGCCGGCAGATCCAAGCACCCCAGCAGCAGATCCGAACTCCCAGTGCTAGAGTGGCGCGTCGGTGGGTCAGTGAATACCGAAAATGCTGTCGCGTTAGATTCTCCGTAGCTTCGGCGATAGCATCAGCTGTTTAGAACAGCACATGAGCAGCTGGTCGAAGAGCGGCATGGCAGCTGTGGTTGCTTCTGTTGGCTCCGTAGCGACATGAAAGTGTGCTACTTGATGCTACTTGAGACCGCACTGGCTCGAGGCGAGAAGGGCAGCCGCACAGCCATTGCTGTCAATCTGGCACTGTCTATTCGCAAGCACGCGGCGGCCTTACGCCGTATTGGCTAGTGCGAGGCTTAAATTTCGGGCTTTGGCCTTTCGCCAAGGCTCCACACTTGGAGCGTCGTTTCGCTTACATCTCCATGGATGCAGTCGCCCACAAGGTGCCCCTGGGCTGGAGTGAGCTGAAACCGCAAGAGGGTATCGAACCACTCCCCTTTTCTGTCGAGCGCATTGCTTTGACATCATTCCTTTAGCCTTTAGCGATGATGGTAGCTGATGGTAGCTGCTTCAATCTGATTGCCTGAACTGTGGCTGTAATCTTCCGACCAGACTTTGTTGCCCCTTGTCACCAGCACGAATCGTCTTTCCTTCTCTTCGGGATTCTGACCACCCATCTGTTTTTGGCAGCCACAGCCTGGAGTTGGTGGTTGCTCGCATCGGGCAGTGTTGAAGCCCTTCGGTAGCGGCGCGTTGCATTGCCCTTGTTACGTGCCTCGCTTCATGCTTGCATGGCCATGAAATTGAGAGCTTGGCTTCATTGTCTAGATGGTTCTTAGCGGGCTTCCGCACTTTCAAAGACAAGCCGATTTGCTGCGAGCCCTTCGTGGTGCTTGTCTACATGCGGAAACCACAGACCCAGAAACGCAAGGACATTCTGTAGGAGTGCGTGGACGATGTGCCTGACGGCTACATATGCCTATCCTGCATTGACAGCTGAGCATGGGGAACATGGTATTTCACGGGTGTACTTCGTAAGTCTTGTGCTGCCGCGTCTTCTGCTTCTTCACTCTGCTGGAAGTTAAGCCGTCCTATCATGCATGGGTCATCATGGGTCTTTCACTGTGAGGACTTCTCTGACAAGGGTCGCAAGGGTTGCCGCGCAAGGCGTGCGAGCACAATTCGAGATGTTCCGTTCTCGTGAAACGATCGGAGCAGAGGGGAGCGAGTTCGTCTCCAGGTCATGCAGGAGTACGGTTTCAACTCGGTGCTGTGCGAGGCGCGGCTTGCAAAAGGGATGTTGAACGGTATTTGAACGGTAGACGGTTTCTTGCCATGGCAGGGGTTGGAGCAGCAATAGCTAGCCTATGCTAGACTGATACAAGATGTGCAAAGGCTTGCTGGTTTTCTAGTCGTTTTCGTGCACCGACATCAGGCTGGCCCATGCCGCTCGAAGGATGATCTGAAAGATGACATTTGGAAGATGCGCGGCTTGGCAATTGCGGCATGCGGGTCTTTCTTCTGAACTCTTGGAGGATGACGTGGTGATGTCTGCTGAGGATGGTACTTGATGCTCACGCTTACGCATTTTGGGCTGAGCGTGCTTGTGGTGGACGCTGACATCGTCTTCTTGGGTGACCCGACAAAGGCTGACAGATTTGCAGGAAACCAGGCACTGTCGGTGCGGAGCAAGAGCAGCACCCAAGCAGTTCAGGACTACGTAGGTTCGAGCACGCAGTCTTTTGCACGGGTCAAACAGGCATATCAGTCACGACCCTTCCGCAAACTTGCGACCGTCTCAACTCAATCTGCAATGATGTCCTTGTAGGAATTCTTCGGGGACGCCGACATGGAGGCAGCTTTGCCTGAGCTGACCTTGTCTGGTTACTGCACCTGAGCTGGTGGATTCTGGCGGCGTTACCTAGCGAGCCGATTGGTTTCCTACGGTCCAATGACGCAGCACCTTTCAGCTAGTCGAAGCGGGTGACCTTGCAAGAACTCGGAGGTGATGACCGACCACTTTTTCCCGGCGAAGCACCTTTGGGAGCCCTGGGTGCGCGTGGAGGCTCGGGCTGGAGCAAATGTGGGGCGTGGGGCAAACCAACGCAAGCATGAAACATGACAGTGTGAAGCCCACGCGGTGATACTGGCTGCCGCTGCTCTTCGGGAGGACCACATCAACACGGGTTTCGTGCTTGTCAAGCCGACTCGGCCAATACGTGGCTTAGCGGACTCTAGTTGTACTTGCGCGAGGAACTAGACTTCAGCAAACCGGGTAGCAGTGAAATTTGTTCTCTCTCGGGATTCCAGATGCCCAGGGTTTCTCATTGCGGACTTCTTGGACGAGAATTGGCAATCGGAGCAGGGAGGTGCGCAGCATGGTGTCGCATCAGTTTGATAGTCATATAAGTCTTAAGTCTTGAGCTGTTTGCACCGGGACATCAACACTCCGCTTCTGCCTCTATGCTGCCCAAGGAAGCTGCGACATGTTTTGCAAGACAAGTTCGCCCAGAGCCTCCCTACTTGTCAACCCAAAACTGGTTGTGGGCAAAGTGATTGAAACACGCTTAAGTTGCAGTTTTAGCTTGTGTCAAGCTGCACTCAGCAGGTGTGCGGCGCGACGGTATGGCCATCCCCTCAAACATCACGAGCAAGCCATGCCAAGGCTAGCCGTGCGGGCTGCGTGGACTTGCCACTGAGGATCAGCGCGTCTTTAACCACTTCATCGCAAGGGGCCCAGGCGGCCAGGATGCCTTCGTATTCGATCCTTTTATGAAGTGTGTAACTTTGGCTGAGGTGCGGCGCATGAACGCTGACGTCCCTTTAGTTGTGGTGGTCTGAGAGCGGTGTTCGGCGTTGCGAAGGCTCCTGCCGAGTAGCCCTGGCCTGAAGAGGTTGGGCGCTACGATGACAAGGTCTTCGGACGGCGACAAAGCATTGTGCCTGCCTGGCCATGGAGACAGGCAGAGTACAGCAGCTCTGAGGAGAATCCAATTTTGAACCTGCGCAGCCGTGCAGGCTTCCATTCGGATCTTGGCAGTGCCCTCAATTTTCGCTCCAGGCTCCAGGGGGCAAACATGGCCGCGGCCGGCAGGACCCAGCACGAATCGCACACGGCATGAACTTCTTCTGGCGCAGAGCGCACTTGCTTGACCCAAAGGCGGGCCAAGCTTTGCAGTGTTGGTTGTGGGGAGATGTCTTTGTTTCTCTTACTTCACACTTGTGGGAGCTAGCTACGACACAGTTTCACTTCTACATAATGGAGACACCCGCCTACGATGGCAGCCTCTACAAGACACCTGCCGTGTCCGTGTGCTCAGAAGCAGAAGCATTGGTTCGGAAGTTGTCGGCCTTCGACGGGTTTCCGATGATGTGTTCAGGACGGACAACATGCCCACTCGTCTGAGCTTGGATTGCAAAGCCATAGAGTTGCAAGAGAAACATATTTTCACCTATGACATGAAGTAAGGGTTGAAAGGTTCGGCAGTTGAAAGCAAAGGGTCTTTGTCGGTGTAAAACTGCTGTTGGTGTTGTCCAACTTTGCGATTTTGCAGTTCGGTAAACGTATACTGTTGCATTTTTCTATGCTATATGGATTTCGATTGTGACGTGGGCCTCTGGGTGATTTGCTGGACTTGGTCTCGTCCAATGGCAGTTCACTGCAAGCGCTTTGTGTTCTCGGCGGTGACTTTCAATTCTTGCATTGGGGGCATCGATCCAAATCACCATCGTAGGCCTTTGCAGGAGGGCGACATGGGCTTTCTGGAACGAAACGTCGAGGACGATCATGCAATCGGCACAGATATCTGATCCTCGTTGTGTATTTGGTGTTTGGTTTGTTCCGCTAGCCCGTAGACCCACCCACAATGGTCCAGACCCGGAAGACGGGGATTGTCGGCAACTGGGCCTGTGCGACTCAGATTGGTCGGCTCCCGGCTGTGGCGCACGTCAATGGCGCCGACCCGAAGGCACGGCCCGAATCGGCGAAATCGCGATGATGGCATGCCAGTCAGTTGGCCACTGTGCGGCAGGAGTATTTCTTGCGTGACCGACAGGCCCGACAGTTCGCAGAATGCGCGTTTTGCGGGGAGGGTCCAGCCCAGGTTTGGTTCCTGGACGATTGGCACGAACGGATCAATTCCTCAGTCCGGCTTGGAGCCAAGGCTTCAGCCAGGATGGCCAGGCACAGGCTTCTCTGTCCCTGAGAGGTTCCTCACGTACGACCACCCCGGTGGCCAAAGCCTGCAAGGCGACTTTTCCGCCTTGTCTGCTGCCGTGGAGGCGTGCACTTCTCTGATCTTCTCCGAGAACTCCCACAATGGATGCGGTCGCCTGGCAGGTCGCGAAGATGCTGAGGCGACGTCTGGTGCTTCCCGACACCATGAACTGCCCGGGCCTCAACCACTCCAGCGGACGCAGGTTGCAGGGGAGATGACTGGAGGGTCGATCGGCTGGGTGTTGACAGGCCGCAATGCTCCATCGTACTATGCGTGGAGCTTGAACATAACCGTGCAGGGGGAGACAGAAAGCTGGAGCCCAAAGGGAAGCAGAGAAGGGAAGGTTCCCAATGCTCACATTTCAATGCACAAAGGTGGGAACTGCACCTTCGATTATTTTTCCTGGGCGACCTGGTTGCACCGTCGAGCCGGTGTGCTTGTTGTACTACCTACGGCTGCTAGGGGCGATTCAAAGGGACCACAAACAGAGTGCAGCGGAACGATTTCCAGGCAAAGAACCTTCTGGATGCGCATGTCGGCTTTGTGATCGAGCTCCTGCCTCAGAGCGTGGCACTCCGCGGAGGCAGCATTCGCTACCTTCTTCGGAGGTCTGGTGTGCGCAAAACGCCCGAGTTTGTGCAGCTCGTGGAGGACGCGGCATCGCACTTAGACCATCTAGACGATGCCTGTGTGTCAACTCCCCTAAATTTCTCCGACTTCCAGGGTGTCGTTGCAGACTTCCCTTCATTTCCCATGTCTTATCTGGTGGCTCGTGGTGCCTTCTCAGAGTATTTTGGTTATGATTCAGGGCTTGTGGTGGTGATGGCCTTTCTGTCGCCGAATTTACGCAGGACTCTGCGATGAGTCTGCCGTCAGTTTCAGCTTTGCTCTCAGTTGCACGGCAGCGGCACTCTTGCAGATAGTTCCGGCATGTCTGGAGTACGCTCCGTAAACAAGACGAGGTTTGTTCCCAGTCTTATTGGTTTCCCTTTTCGCGGACATACCAGCCACTAAGTTCTAAGGTTGGCCCAGTTCTGCCAAGGGCCGCGTAGACTTTCAAGCCCTGTGGAACTTGCACTGGACGGACGCTTCGAGGCGTGGCCGCGCGAGGAGCGCCAAGGTGGGGAAGGGCATGGACGGCAACGAAGGTTACTTACATGAACTCGAATAGTGGAGAAGATGCGAGACTAATATAGGGGCCTTAGTTATTAGAATAGAGTGTTGGGGCCCGCTAGACTATAATTATAATAAGGAACCCCCAAAATAATATAGGTAATTCGCAAGGCCCCTGTATTAGGAGGAGTATCGGAGTGTAGCTTCTGAGCTGTGGGAGCTGCCAGACACTGCAAAGTGGTTGCAGCAAGTGGCGCCCGAAGCCGTCGCGGTGGCTCACGTGGCGGAGGACATCTTCCAGGTCCCTCTTTGTAAGCTCTCACCATGGCCCCTTGCCTGCGGTCCGGCTTTTTTTTTTTGCGTGAGGTGCGCGATGCTCTGCGGCAAGCGCTTCATGCGTCTGTTGTGACCCAAGTCGTGGTTCGAGGATGCACTTCGTGCGTTTGCTGCATCACTTCCACTGGACAAGTCTGCAGCCCAAGGAATGGGATTCCATGACCTGTATATTCCAGCAGTTCCCCCACCAGGATGGAATTGAGAAGTGTTGAAGTTCTCGGTGATTCAGAGGTACGCACTTCTATTGAGCTTCTGCAAAGCCACGCCTCACTTTTCCTGCGAAATTACGCCGACCAGCCGAATCTGAAATGCTGAATGCTAGAAGAGTGTTGAAGCAAAGATTGAAATTACTAAAACCTATTTACTCTACTCTGGTAATATAATATACGATGATATAACATACGATTGAAGCCCAACCTTACCATGCCCTCCACAGAGCCGGCACTTGTGTTTGGCTTCGGACCCCTAGCCTGTCGGCAGGTGAATGTTTGCCGCGACGATCGATTTGTGTCACGCTTTGGCAAAGGACCGGAATGTGTTGGTACATTTGCAACCTGTACAAATCGAAGTGTTGAAACCTCTTGACTTTCTTGTCGCGCGAACCGGAGGAGCACAGTGTGATCCTGCGCCCGGGCAGGCGGGTCGCTGCGAACCTGCGATGGCTGCCATGGCGCGCCGTGCGTTTGGCCTTGAGGCGGCCTGTGGTTTTCATGGCTTCAACTGCTGTGGAGAGCCCGGAGATGCCCGCAGTTTGGCCCAGAGGGCCCCGCTGGCCGCCCTGAGGCATGTCCTTCTGGGGTTACTCTGAGAAGCTGGAGATCTTCACCGGCGCGCGGTGGGACTGGGAGTCTGAGAGAGTCTGCGTGTGAAAGAGGGCGAGGCAGAGGGAGAGGGAGAGTTCGTCAACTTGCGAGAGGACCTGCCCTGCAACTGTGGCCTCGCGGAGAGCTGTGTGAAGACCAAAGAGCACAAGGCAAGGCATGTCCACAAAGGTCCACCTAGCTTTCACCTAGCTTGGCGTCGAACTCAACGCAGCTCAGATCGACCGGGAAGACCAGCAGTACATTCGGCATTGCTGCCTCTCACCCAGAGCATCTTCTCAGCATCCAAAGCCACGAGATGTCTTGGGCTTTGAAGCGGCCAATGGTCAGGTGCACATCAGTTGGAGCCGAAACCGCAGGCGCGCGACCTTTCGCCGCCTTTGCCGTCCTTTGCCATCCTCAGCCACATGTGGCCGAGAAAGATAGAACGTGTTGAGGAGCATTGCATGTTGGTGCCGGAGCAGCAGCCAATGACCATCTATGGCGACTCCCACTTCTATTCGCGGCTTGTCCGGCATAGCCGATCCCTTTTTTGTCCGAGCACAGATGCTGCGACCTCCAACTGCCAGCAAGCAAGGTCCTATCTATTGTGACTTGGCTCTACAGGGTGAGATGTCGCGATGCCGACAAGCGATCACGGAGGCATGAGTCAGCAAGTCTAAGGAATGACTTCATTGACGGCCCAGCTCTCAGAACTCTGCCGAGTTTGGGATTGTTCTGCTCCCTCCCTCCCTCCCTCCCGCCCGGGCGGGTCACTGTGGCTAGCTGGGGTTGCAGAGGACGCTGTAGATGCTGTTGCGGCTCAGTGTCGAGGGTCCCCTTTTCAAAGAATCGAAAGAATCGGGGGAGCCGAGTGGAGCCAGCGGGGCAGCGCAGACTCTGCCGTTGAGACCCTCAGGCCGCATTGATCCAGCCCGTGCACTGCAGCGCTGCAGTGACCATCGTGTCCAACTCTCAGTGCCCCTAGGAGCTCAGAGCGCCTCCTTCCAGAGCTCAGGCTGGGACTCTCTTGGACTCGGACTCTTCTCGCGCACCGCCCTCAGGCGCCTCTTTCATGATTCTCCCTCCCTCCCTCCCTCCCTCCCTCCCTCCCTCCTTCCCCCCCGCTCGCCAACCTCCCGAACACCGTGGCCAGAAAGGCACCGGACCTGTTCATGTGAACTCGCCTCGAAAGCGAGGCTCTCCTGCACTGTGGCACGATGATCTCCGGCCTGTCGCTACTCAGCTCTCCATAGGCTCTCAGCTCTCGGACACTTGTCGGACATCGCGACATTTGGAGCTCTCGCACCCAGGCTGTGGCGTGGCCGCTATGACAGAGCTTTCAAGTGGCTGGGAGCCTGGCACTGCTGCTTAGTGGAGTTGGGCGCCGGGCGTCCTTGCAGGCTGGAGCACATTCACTGGGTGCGGCGGCGTCCCGGCATGCCAAGTTTGGACCTTGGTGCACGCGATGATCGTCGGTTGTGCCAACTGCGGACACTGCCGTGCACTCGCCTAGACCCTTTGTCCTGGGAGACTGGGCGGCCCTCCAACAGCGTCTTAGAGGCCACGCCCACATTCGATGATATGATTGCTGACCTGTGTCATCCTTTGCAACCACCAAGTGCTGGTTAGTCCGTAGATCAGGGCGATGTTGGAAGCGAGTGGAAGCTTCGGCACGACCTGGAGCAGTTCCGCTACCTGTCGAGGCATCATGTTGAGTTTGACATGTGCTTGAGGAGTTGCTCTAGAGCTGTTGGGTTATGTGGCAGCATCAAGTACGCGTGCCTGTCCTGTCCCGCGCAGCCATCGCCTCGCAACCTCCTAGCCACGCGCTTCTCGTTGTTGCCGTGCTGTGTATACACCGGCAGTCCAGTCCTCGATTACGCCGATGAGCCGCATGTGGTCATATACAGTGCGGACTGGATATGACAGGCTGAGAAGGCAGAGGCTCCGACCCGGACGCCGCAGCTAGCTTCAGCAGCATTTTGAAAATCTCAGCCTCGTGCGCCATGCGCCAGCATTATGGCCCTGCTCCCACCATTCTCGCCATTTGCCATCAATTAGCGCATCACTTGGAAGCTCTTTGAGATGCAAGACGAACGAAAGACAACGGTGGATTGGCGGTGCTTGTTTCGGGTGCGTGCGCGATGTGACGAGCTTCAACTTACAGACGCCCTTGAAGCCTAGCTCGAGTATTGCATTATTCTCGCTATCACCACTATACTATATCATGCTACCTGTACATGATGCTGATACTACATGGTGCTTTATACGATATCTCAACATATGGTATCATGCTAGGCTACACTTTATACTTTTATGCTACTGTGTACTAATCTTCTTCAGTGCTAGATGATACTATACTATACTATAGTATACGAATACTGGGCTATACCAAGCTACAGTGTGCTATACTGGCTATACTATACTATACTATATTATACTATGCTATATACTATACTATACTATACTATACTATACTATACTATACTATGCTATACTATGCTATACTAAAGTATACTTTACTGTATGGTACGATACGGTACTGTACCAGACTATGCTATACTATGCTTTTCTATACTATACGACACAATACTATACTATACCATGCCATACTATACCATGCCATACCATGCTGTACTAGGTGATGCTGTACTATACTAGACTGTTCTATGCTGTGCGATGATCCGCTGTACTAGGCTGATTACACTATACCATATCATACGGAAACATACCCTAACATAGCCAAAGCTAAAGCCCAACTATGCCATGCCAGGCTGAAGATGCTATAAGTCATATTATGTTACATTCTGTCGCATCGTGTGGTTTGGTATCATATCCTATTGTAGTTCCAATACGTAGTAGTTTACGATAACATACTTTATCAGTGTTGGCCGTCCATCCCGGCGACTCGCATCTCGAATTTGAACCTTCGCATTCCCTCGCATCATTGCATGCGAAGGCAGCAGCGGCGCCAACAAGCTCGGGACTTACATCAGCCCTGGCGGTTAAGCTTCGCGAAGCCAGCTCGCGGCTTGCAATGCCGTCGCTTTTTGTCAATCCGAGGTCTCGCCATACGCACCGCTTCTGTCGCCAGAGGCGGCAAGCGGCCTGGCCGTGCGGCGCCATGACTGGGCACTTGTGGTCGTTCTTTGCACGTCAGGGACCTGTCGCATCTCGTGTCATGCTGTCCCCGAAGTCTATGTTTGCCATGCCATGCCATGCCTCTCCGCATGCAGAAGCGCAGATCCGCAGCCTGCTGCATGTGTGTATGCCTACTAGGTTGCAGGATTCGAGCTTCCGAGCTCGCCAGCTTCATTTCTCAGCATGCTGTTGGCCTTTTGGGGCTGTCCTGTCTATTCGGAGCTGTTCTGTTGGCCTGTGAACTCGAAGACATGACCTGTTGCCTCGTCCTGAAGAGCTTCTGAGGAGGCGGCATCCAAGCTGCTACAGATCTTCCAGCTGGATGCTCAAGATTCCCATGCGAGAGTCGAAACACGCTTGCGATGCAACGTGCGCACTTGCATGCATGGTATTGCAACCGCAGATGTAGTTCATGGCTGCAGTCACCAGACGGGTTCACGTGCGAGAAGCCGCCAGTCAGGTCTCAGGGCCCAGAAGTTGTCGGAGCCTTGGCTTCTGGACTCCGGTTCTCAGTGCGTAACGGGCAGTCCCAGCCGAAAGGCTAGGCTGGCTCGGAGTGCGCGGGTCCTCCCGACGCCCACTGCAGCTTCATCCAAGCATCTAAGAATCTAAGCCGTCGAGGTGAAGGGCCAAACAGATGGCCATGGGCATAGACCCGTAACCCTGATTCTCAGCAGTTTTTAGCATAACTCCGTGACGGTTTGAGGGGACTGGAGAGGCTGTACCGGAGCTCACAGCAATTCTAATGCAGGAGCCTGAGAGCCGCAGGCTTCGCCTCGGCCGATCGGCCGAGGCCAACTAGGAGGCTCTACGACAGCTTTCAATGACCAATGCTCCAGAAACTCCCGACGCCAGCCGACAGCTTCAAGAATCTGCATGTTTTCGGCGAGTTGAGGTTTGAGGCCAAAGTAGCAGCCGAGGCGAAGGCATCCCTGGATGCCGAGCTCTCCGGGCTGGGCACCCATGTCTGTTTTGCGAATCGTATACTACTAAATGTGATTAAGTTATGAGCTCATTGCTACTTTACCGCATTGCTACACTAGTATGTTTTTTTGTGCATTGGCATACTAGTATGTAATTTTGTTATGGCATGATGCCACATCGGAATTCCGGGAAGGCATGTAGGAGCTTAACATTTGCACTCAGGACAAAAGGATTCTCGGTGATTCTGTGGCCATGGTTGGTTCCTTTCTGGGGGCCTCAACAAGAAGATTCGGGATAGGCCTCACCTGTGAGCCCGGCAAACGGCACCGTCCACGCTTGGAAGAAACGTTACACCGCTTTGCAAATCGTCGCGAGTCACTTGCAAGAACGTTGCATGATTCGTGACATCATCAACTTCAGATACACATCGACAAATCTTGCGCCCCTCGGTCTCGGCAGCTGCTTCCGCGCTGACCTTTCTGCCGCGCCGCACTCGCAGGGCAGCACGGCTGTGTGGCTTCAAAGCTAAGCACCTCCGTGTGGGAGCTGGGGCTCCCAAGCCCAGCTGTGAGCCTTTGTGTAGACAAGTGCATCGAAAGTGGTTTTACAGTGTTTCGCATGCATCAACTACAGGGCAGAGGCCTTCGTTGTGTGGCGCTTATGGGCGTAATTTCGAGGCTGATCGCATTGCTCATCGCTCATAGCTGCTTATAGTTCTTACTGCAAAGCTCCGTGCTGCGCGCACCAGCAGTTGCCATGTCGTCGCCTTCAGGCAGAGGCCAGCAAAAATCGGGCTTAAACGGCGTTGTGTCAGGGTGGCTCTCGCTTCCTGCCACTCTCAACTCTGGCTTTTGGTTTCAATGCGGAGGCTTCCTGAACTCTCTCACCAGCTTCTTCTCAGCCTTGACCGGTGGAGAACTCGGCACTCCGCACCTTCAACCCAGCAAGCATCGTCTGAGCTGAGACCGTCTGACACCGTCTTGGCTAGAAGGAATGGCTCGAGGCAGACTTCCAAGCGGAGTGCGAGAGTCCAGGTAAGTGAGAGGGCGGAGTGCTTGAGGCGTGCGCTTCGGCTTTGGCATGGCCAGCATCTTGCTGACCTTCTGGGTGACGCCCCTGAGGCCGCATCTTTCTCAGCATTGGGATGAACTCCCGAACAAATTCGCGAGGAGAACGAAGAACATAATGTCACATCGATATTCCGTGTTTCGGACCCAACGGGATGTTCAGAATATTGATTTCGCAGAGGATCCCTACATGATGGACTTACCTCGTTGAGCAGTTTTCTGGACAGCGACAATCGCCGCAGGCGGTTTGGAACAGACGACCAGCGCTTGCAAGAGATCAAGCGCTCCTTGGCAGCGAGGTGTCAGCTGCAATATCTGCCATGCTCAGCATCGTTTTTTTGCCAAGCGTTGCCAAGGCCTAAACAGGCTTTGTGCAGAGAGAATGCTGGAATTGGTTCCGAGCTCGGGCTCCTATCACTCCACCTCCTCCCAAGCCTCTGCCGCATGCTCTCTCAGCTGGCGGCTAGGTGCTCAGCCTCAAGGGCTATTATGTGAAGGCAGGCGAATTCGTTGGACCTTCGGCGGAACACGTGCCATGTTCTTCTCTTGATGTGGTTGGGGAGGCTGCGCAGACCTTGTGCGGTGCGGGGCAATTCCCCGCCGAGCAACCTGGCAGGAAGGATGAAGCTTTCAGCCATGTGCCAAAATTCAGCGCGGAAGGTTCGATGAGGTCTTTGCCGTTCTCCTCGACGATTGCCCGCAGGCGCCTCGAAGACGGAGAGAGCTTCGCCCACAAAAGGCTCGCTGAAGTTGTTCAGACGCACCGAACAGGAGCCTTTCGAAGTGGTCCAAGAAATCATCGAAGCGGAGTACGGCACCGAGGAAGCCCAGAGTCGGGAGTCCGGAGAGCCCGTAGGAAGGAGCGCGACTTTGCTGTCCAAGGTTGGGAGCCTGCATAGGCAAGGCTGCTGATTATAAGATAATGATTATGGTGTGGTTTCGCAGATGGTACTTCACTGCTCACATGCGACGTTCTTTTCTGATGCCTTTCAGGCGACATCTTCGAGCATTTCGACACCCATGCCATCGCCGCGGCCTCCATCGCGCAGGCAGTTGTGGCCGTTGCAGCTGTGACTGTGGCCTGCGGTCATGCGCGCAACACAAGCGGCAATTTATATTGGCTAGATCGCAGTGGCTAGGTGCATTTTGCGAAGCTTTCGGACGGCACCGAGGCTTGGCATTGGGAGCCCATGTAGGCCGTAGGCCACGAAGCTGATCCGAGCGGAAGACAGCCTCTGAGGTGGCGGTCAAAGTGCAGTACCCGAGCGTAGAGCGCTTTTTCTACATGGATGTGCCTCTGTTGCAAAATTGGGCATATGCGGTGATCAAGTCTGACGAAGAATCAGTCGTAGGACGTCCGCTGAGTGAAACCGCTGCTCTTGATTTTCATGAACTCCGTGAAGACATGTCGCCGTTCGGAATTGTCGATGTACCCAAGAGTCTAATGGAGGTGTCGCTGTTCAGCTTGTCATTTGTGGGGGAGCAGAAATTCCACGGAGTCCCAAAAATATGTGGATGGGTAGACGGACAGACAAGTCACACACCGAGGTTGCAACAGTTTCCTTCGCTGGCAACCCAGACTGACAGTCTCTGAATCAAAAGAAGTTCCACGGCTGCAATCATGCAGTCAGGCCATGCAGCTGCTCGGTATGGGCAGCCAAGTTCAAGAGATCTTTTCTACGATGCAGGCGCGCAAGAAGCTGTGTATCACTCGTGCGGGAAACTTTGGATGTCGGCATATACTGGCAGGACCAGTTCAGACAGGAGTTTGACTTCACTGCAGAGGCTCTTGCTTGGCCCTTGGCTGTGGAGCATGGGCGCCCACGTCTCAGAGGCGGGTGTGATGCGCGAGCTGGCCGACAACCTGCTGCCAGGAGCTTCAGTAAGCGGCTGAGCTGCCCCGATCCCGAACCGGACACCGAGGCCTGAGTTTGGAGATGAGATTGAGATTCCATTGCCGCTCCTCGGTCTTGAACACGTCACGTCTTGAAAACTCGGAGTCTTTTCTGAGCTTTTTCTGAGGATCGACCGAGCTCACCCCTCGTGCCCCGCCTCGGGCGGGCTTTGCACTCCCAAGGCAGAGTCGGATGTTGGGGGTTGTCTGACGGATGCTTGGGGTTGTTGGTGCGTTTAGGTGAAGGAGGTTGAAGGGATGTGGCTGTGTAGATGAGCTTCGGAGGTTCCTCAGTAGTCAAAGGAAAGGCTCTGGGGGTGGAATAGTGCCTCTGCCTCGTTCTGACCTGAAGAGCGATTCCCTTGGCAGGTTCTGGTCATGGTCCCCGGCTCAGCGACGGCAGACGAAGATTGCACCCAATGTAGTTGTGATGGATTCGAAATGGCCTTGGTTTAAATCTGTTGCGTTCTTTGCTAGGTTTGTTGAAGCATTGAACCCAGGGGAAGGGTTGATCGCGGGTTGTGGGTGTTATATCCGTTATCGCGCCAAGGAGCGCCTACATGGAACGCCCATTCGAAAGTATTCCATGCCGCTGATGAAGATGCGTTTCGGCTGCAACTATTATTGAGAGAAACTTCTAAGATTTTCTAAGCCTGCGCGTTGATTAGGCCCACTTCGTGGGTGTGGTGTCAAGCCGTCGAGTCGATGTGCAGCATGCAGCATACATCTGTGGCTACTTGTGTTGTTTGCTTGAGAGGTTTGCGGAGGCATATGGAATGACTTGGGAGGAGCTCAAGAGGACGGATCTTGGCTTGCTTTCGCAGCTCTCGGAATTGCGGTATCTCTGTAGTCGTTTTTGTGCTGTTGCTCGCAGCCTTCTCTTGACTGGTAATGCAACTGGCGGGCCGAAGCCCTGTGCTGGTGTTCCATGCAATGGTGCTTGGTCCTGCAGTACAGCCAGTAAAGCTGCGCATGGTCACACGTCTCTCGTCTTCCCTGCTCACAGAGGATGCTGGACTCGCAGGACCTGTCGAAGGCGGGACTGCGGCTCCTCGTTTCGCAGTTGCCTCGCTGCCAAGCCAGCGCCGGAGATGCCGCATCGCGCAAGGTGGACATGAATAACATGCTTGTAAGACGGGCCGGAGGCTGAGGCCAAATGCATTTGGTGCCTCTCTCGGGGCTCCGTGTCGGCCGCTGCCGAGGCCCTGCACATGGGGCGGGTGACGGAGTGTCAGAGCAATCTCCTAGCAGCTGGCATCCAGGCCCCCCCCGCGTCCCTACCCATCTCGCCCGCCCAACCGCCCAGCACGGAGCTGTCTTTCAAGCTCCTGCTTGCCTCGCAGGCGAGGAATCTTGCTTCCAGGACTCCTCAAGCGAACTTGGCCTAGAGAATCGCAATGGGCACATTCCGGGTGCATGTTGGTATGCGCAGGATCGTGGGCGCATGTGCCGAAGGCATCTTTAGGGTTGCTGCCTCAGTCTGCAAGGAGTGGTACTGCAGTGCTGCTGATGTTTTCCGATGTCTTGCGTCCTGTGTCTAGAAGGTTCAGGATGTTGCATGTTGACCCCCGCCCTGCCGCCGCAGCTGTGGCATTTCGCTCCATTGCGGGCCAAGCGCTTCCTGCCTAGAATGGCAAAGAGAGAGCAGAGCGGTGTGGTCAAGAAGCACCCGTTCCAGGGGAGAACGGCCGCCCGGCAGCCGAGTGAAAGCAACTTGCAAGCGACGCTTGTTGTGCCGTGATCTAATGGCGTGCGATACCATTTCTTGGATTGCTCAGATAGCGATAGTGAACGACTTGACCTTGGACGAGCAGTGGTATGTGTACCACAAGACACGACTCTTGACCGCAAATCCGTCGGCACCAGCTCGTGGCTGGGAAGGTTGAGACTGTTTTCACACCGAGGGGAGCTCAAAGAAGCCTTCAAGAATGGCGAGGACCTGGATCGTTTCCGGCTACAGAACCGTGAGGCATTGGCAGCACGGTGGCACCAACATCGCACACGCTTGGCTGCTGTCTCTGTGACACAGGCGGCAGTCTACACCATCTTCATGGAGGACTCGACGCGGACCAAAGAATCCTTTCGCAATGCCGCCGAGTTTCACGGCCTCAAGGTGAATGTCTTTGATGCAAAGACCTCCTCCTTCCAGCCGCCCGGCTTATTTGATCGGCCCACGCGGCTTTTGCTTCGAACTAGCTCGGGAGACCCAGCTGCAATCAAAGAAAGGGCGCGAGACTTGACAAAGGAAGAACGAGACCATCACGGACACCATTAAGATGCTGTGCGGCTATTCCACCGGGCAAAGTTTGTTCGTGATCCGCTCCAAGGCAATTTTGTGGGTCATTGTAACGTAGGTCCTCTTGGCGGTTGCGAGGTGCAAAGGAGGTTCGTTGCATCGGGAGACAGACAGACACACGCTCGCGCGAACGCTTACACGCTCATACATACTTAGTTGCATACATGCATGCGTAAATCCATCCATCCATCCATTCATTAATTCATTCATTCAGTCAGTCAGTCAGTCGCTCAGTCACTCACTCATTCATACATACATTTACACATGTACATCCACACATCCACACATCCACTCAACCATCCATCCACGCATCCATGCATACATACACAAACACATACACACAAGCCCCATACACCCACCCACCCACACCCACACACCACGCACCCACACACCGGCACGCTCACACGCACACGCAGCCGAAGGTTAAGCAGCCCAGGCTTCCAAGCAAGTCTGCCACATGTTGTGACGATGGCTATGCAGAGCGCATGCAGAGCGCATGCGTGCAGCAACCCCCTCCTCGCAGAAAAACGCGAGAGCCCGCTGCAGGTGGAGGGTGTGTGCCGGTGGCTCGAGGAGGCGATTTCGAAGTACTGCAAGCGGCTTGCCTCTAATCTCTACTCTCCCTGAAGATGCTTTGACTTAATCCTGTCGGGTGCCTCCGAGGCAGCGGGGCTTTCCTCGAGCTTCCTTCATCAATGCAGGCGAGCCGGTGGTTTCCCCCCCAGAACGCCGACGAGTCGTGTGCGTCCGCGGGTCCCATCTCCCGCGCTCGGGCAGGAGACGGCCGGCACGAGCACCCCTCGCAGGAGATGCTCGATGAGTTCAGCTTCCTGGAGCAGAAAGGCGACGGAAGGGGATGCCGGGACGAGTGATTCTAGTTCTTCGGGCCGCTCTTGTGCTAGAAATGAAGGACCTGCCGGAGGTGCAGCACTAATTTCCAAGCCACGAGATTTTCCGATCCACGAGATTTGGAGGGGTTATGACTTAAGGTCGTCGAGGGCCAAAGCAGCTTGTGTAGCAAATGCCGGAGACTGTCAGCAAATCGTGGCCGCCGTCTGTCGCAAAAAGCCAGGCCTCCAGTCACAGGCAGGAGGCAGCAGTAGTCAAAAACAAGGCGGCTCGAAATCAGAAAGCGACAGACTCCACGTGGTGGAGGACAAAAAAGAGATCTCACCCGGTCGCACCCACCCTGGCCTTCGAAGGCGACATGGGGGTTATGTCGTTTTCTACGATTCTACGAGGGCTCGTGCACTTTGCACTTTGCGCTTTATTTCCGGATTTGGCAACCCTCCTCGAGTATCATTGGGTTTTGTTTGAGTGCTTCCATAATGAATTATGTGTGTGCGACCGGGTACGGCCACGTAAACAACGAGGTCGCATAAAACGAATGCTTTGGCAACCGTCGTCGATTATCATTGAGTTTTTGGTTTGAATGCTGCCACAACAAACGATGGGTGCGACCGGGGCAACCCTCAGGGGCGACCGGGTGCGTCCTCGTAAACAACGAGGTCTTGCCCGGTCGCACCCACCTTATGTGTTCTCCTGCATTTGGCAACCGTCAGCGAGTATCATTAGGTTGTGTTTGACATTGAATGATTTTGGATGCTTCCACGACAATCGATGGGTGCGACTGGGTCAACCCTGATCGAGTATGATTGGGTTTTTGGTTTGAATGTTTACACAACGAGTGATGGGGGCGACCGGTTGCGGCCTCGTAAAACGACGAGGTCTTCCCCGATCGCAAGTGTTCCCCTGGATTTGGCAACCGTCATCGAGTATCATTGGGTTTTGTTTGAATGATTTTGAATGCTTCCACAATAAACGATGGGTCCGACCGGGGCATCCCTGATCGAGTATGATTGGGTTTTTGGTCTGCATGTTTCCATAACGAATGATGGGGGCGACCGGGTACGTCCTCGTAAAACAACGAGGTCGCACCCGTTCGCACCCAGGCGACAAGGGGTTATGTCGCTTTCTACGAGGGATGGTGCAGCTTTCTACGAGGGATGGTGCAGTTTGGGCTGTATGTATTCTTCCGGATTTGGCAACCCCCATCGAGTATCATTGGGTTTTTGTTTGAAAGCTTCCATAACGAATGATGATGATGATGATGATGATGATGATGATGATTGTGGTGGTGATGATGATGGTTGCGACTGGGGGCGACCTCGTAAAAAACGATGTCGCACCCTGTCGTATCCACCCTTAATTCGAAGGCGACATGCGGGTTATGTCGTCTTTGACGAAGGATCGTGCACTTTGGGCTCTATGTGCTTTGGCAGCCGTCATCGAGTATCATTGGGTTTTGGTTTGAATGCTTCCGCATCAAGAGTTTGGTGCGGCCTCGTAAACAACGAGATCGCACCTGCCTACGAAGGCGACATGGAGGTTATGTCGTTTTCTACGAAGGACCGTGTACATAAGCCTTATGTGCTCTTCCGGCCTGGGCAACCGTTTGCACCATCGAGGGCCTGTCTTGTCAATTGGTCGAGGCTGGGATACCTCCAGTATCCACTTGGCCTTGCTCGGAGATCTATTTCATGGACGCACTGTACATTCAAAGGTCGATGGCCTCAGGACTGGGCGCTCAACGTTCCGGCTGTGAGATCGTTGTCGCATTCTGTTCTCCGATACTTCTGTTGGCAGGATATACCGAAAAGTATTCGTCGATTTGATTGCCCCCAGTGAACTGGCGCTTCCAAAGATGTACGAAGATCGCATGATCGCCAGAGGTTACGTGGTGAGGCTACGGCATGGCAAAATGCGATTGAGAGTTTATGCTTCCTGGCAGCAGTGTGTTGGAAGCGGTGTTGAGCTGCTAGGAAGTTCGCATCTATCGACGACTACCTGGCCCAAGAGAAGGTGGCAAAGATCTGGTATTTCACCCGATTGCAGCTAGAGCGCATGGGTGACAAGGCCAGCGGTGCTACCGCGCACTTCAAGCAAGACTGCGCTCATCGTTGGCTTTGCCGCGACAGGTTTTGGAGAAGTCAAAGGAACTTCGAAAGGCCGTGACCATGAGACAGGACTTCCTGGACAAGCTTCCGCAGGGCGTGAAGTTTTTCCATCCCCTGTGGCCTACAAGCAGAAAGTGTGCAGACTGCTGACTGGCATGGCACGGATGTGAACTGAGGCCGCGGGACGCCAGACACCCGACGCTGCCATACTGGCTTGACAGCACGGAGCTCAACGGCTGGGACCAGCAATCGCAGAGCCTTGGTAGTGAGAGTGGGTGAAGTCTGGGAAGTGTTCCGACTTCCGACATCGATGTACTGTAGCTCTTGGCGACGCAAAGCTAGAGTCTGAGGGGACGCATGCCTTGCATTGATGATTCAAGAGTCCGTATGTAATATGGTATCCTCCCCCGGTGAGGAATGGCTACTTCACTCGCTCCTCAGATGGAATGTCTGGGTTTTCATCAAAGTGCAGCATCTTTGACAGAAACAGGTGGGGTGGGGTGCCTGTGTTTCCCAGGCATCGTCCTCCTGGGCATGCTAGGCCCGCATCCATGCTTTAGTGGGCATGCAGCTTGACAAGACGGTAGAAGAAGCCTCTAGTGCACAACGTGGCTCCGCCTTGCAGATTGTCAGGTGGGCACTTTGGAGATGATTATCGTGTGGACCTGAAGGTGGAGTGTGCAAGTTTGCAGCACTGATGTGATGCTGGCCCCAAGCCCCATGCTTCCTATCATACCGAGAATGTAAGATTCGAGACTTCGAATATGTACAATGGGCGAAAAGCAAGCCGTTGTCGCAAGGCTAAGGCCACGGATGCCCATGTTGTTTTGGGTGTTTATTGCTAAGCTTGACCCGGATAGTGTTGACACGCACACACACACACACACATACACGTGCACAGATCTATACATGGAGCAGAAGCAAGATGCAGAAGATTGCATAATATAATATAACATAATATAATACAGTATAATATGATTGCAGAAGTGTACGGCCAGGCGGAGGCCAGGCAACCCGGCAGCCCCATGCTTTTCAGCCCCAGCTTGCGAGGCACCGCGGCTGAAGGTTCGGGTTTGGCTCCGGACGTAGTCTTCAGTAGAAAGGACCCCAAAAGGGACTCTAATTTTTAAAACTACCCAAACGGGTAACCCCCCAACATAAACCCTACGTGCTCGGACCCTTGCTGCAAAAACGGCCAGAAACAATCGCAAAAGACTGGGCATGTGGGTTTTACATTTTCGAGTCAGAGTCACAGTCGGCATACACATCCCCGTAAACGCACCTACTTGCAAGCTGGGCCATCCGGCAGGAGACTTCTCGCCGACGAGTCAGCGGAACGCGATGGAACTCCCAGACGATTTGGATTTGGGATATTCTCCGGCCCTGATGGCTGCCACAGATTTCATCAAGGATCCTGCTAGCCAAGACTTCAGTCACAACTTGCTTGGTTAAATGCCTGGATTTGAGTTGCGATCCAGCACAGTTTTGTTTGAGAGCTCACGCAGACGGCAAGTGGGAGCTGTGCAGGCACGCAGCGGTGTAGCTGATGTCAAAGGATACGCATTAGGAGTTACCTGGCGCCTCGGCAAGGAGGTGGCGACCTCGCCGGACATCACTTCTCCGGAGAGGGTAAGCCAGGAGGCACCCCAATTCAGAAGAGCGAACGCATGTGTGGAAGTTGCTGCCTTTTGCAGGTCGGGTTGGTGCCCATCGCAAATGGGATCGTCATCGAGAACCTGGCTGCCGGGCAAAGCATCGAGCAGGCGTGAGCATCGACTGCTGTCAGCATAGTGGTGTTAGCATCCTGCAGGAACGACAGTACTTCCAGCCTGCACCCTTTGTAAGCGTGAGGAAGACCTCCAGTTCGAAACGAGGAGCAACACGATAAGCTTAGCCGATGACCTCGTTGTTGCTGTCAGCAGGTCTGGAACCTCATGTATATGGTGCGGGACATCTTGGACTTGCATCATGTGGGGGGTCAAGGTGTGCGCATGTCTGACGAGACGAGCGGCGACTGGGCTATGTTGGGGACGCGAGCCACAACGCCATACTGCAGAAGCACGGCCGTAAGTCTGAAGCGCAGCTCGCAGGTAGCTGTGTAGGCAGCGGCTTCATTGCAGTGCCCGACGTTGACATCAGCAGCTGGGACCGGCAGCCCCTGAAGCCTGGGCCTCAGCTCAGCCATTTTTGCCGCCATTTTGCGCACTGTCGCGAGCCACTTTGGCTCGTCGAGGCGCCTGGCTGCGATGGCCCCGGGGAGTATGCTGAAGGCGGTCTCGCAGGGGACGCTTTCCGCTTTCTGTGCAGTGCTGGCCCTAGAAAGCTAATGACTTTGAGGAAGGCTGAAAATATGCGCTAGAAGCGGAAGGGGACTTGTGGGACCCTGCTGTACCCTCCTCTCTCAGGCCTTGACCTCCCCAGGCGTACCACATGTGGAATCCAGTGGTCTAACGCTCTGGAAATTTGTCAGTTGCCTTGGCCCCACATGTTCAAAGATCTTCCAAGAGCGACCCCGCCACGCTGAAAGCATTGGAGGTGGTCAAGGATGGCGCCGTCGAGCGCGAGTTCCGTCTCCAGGTTCCGCCGCGGGTCTACAACTTCAAGGACGGGGCTGGAAAAGGGAAATCAAGGCTTAAGGCACGTTAGTGCGGATGCGACTTGTGCTGAGGTCAGTTCATGTAGCTACCAGCAGTGCGTGCTTGGAATAAGTGAATTTAGTGTCGAGAATCGAACCGGATGTGGCCCTCATCACGAAAAGCCTTGAATGCTGCAAACCAGAAGGTATCAACATGACCTCGGGAAGCCCCAGGACATCTCCTGCAAGAACACGGCCTGCGTGTCTCACCCAAAGAACATGCAGCACGAGGTGGAGCCCTTCTTCGAGCGGTGCCGCTCTGGACCCACGCATGTTACTCATATTTTTGTATTATATTATTACATGTATATTCGTATATATATATATACACATACATGCATTTGTTTATGCATGCATGTATGTGTGTACATAAATGTAATGTAATGTAATGTAATGTAAGGTAAGGTAAGGTAAGGTAAGGTAATGTAACGTAATGTAATGTATGGCATGGCATGGCATGTGGCATGGCATGGTACTAGTATGGTATGGTATGGTACGGCACGGTGCGGTACGTACGATGTACGTATAGATGTATGTATGTATGTA